TCCCCGGCGGCCGGAGGAGACGCCGCTCCGGCGCTCGGCCGGTCCTCACCTCGATGTAGCCAGCCAGAGCCGCGGCGGGCGCCGTAAGCCCGAGCAGCAGCAGGACGAGAAGCTTGCCGGCGGCCTCGGCGGCCGCGGTCCCTGTGGCCGCCATCCCTCCCCGGGTAGCTGTGGCGCTGGACTCTCCCGCTCTCACGCACAGCGGGACCAGAGCGCTTTTCGCACCGCGACCCAGAAGCATCTGAAGCCCGTTCGCCGCCGCCCCGGGGGTTTTACACCGACCGGAACTGACTTCACAAGACCACGCCCTTCTTCGGCGGGGCCCAATACGAGCCCGCATAACTGGCCTAGGATACCGCCCCTTGCTCAGCCCAGACCCAATCACGGCATGGACGCGCTCGCTCCCCTCCCCGCCCACCGCGCGCCCCCGCATGGCCCCGCCCCCATCCGCGGCCAGCCCCGCCCCCGCTCCGGACCCGAGGCCCGGGGGCGCACGAGTGCTCGCGGGGCAGACCGTGGGCTGCTGCCCCGAGGGCGGGAGGCTTCCGTGCGGTTGTCTGTCGGTGTGGCTCTGCCTCATCCGCTCTCAGCCTCGGGATTCGGGCACGCCCCACTCCCCCCACCCCGGCGGGGTATTTTTCATATTCCTTTGGGTACCGCCCTCTTTGGGGGTTCTGGAAAATGTTTTAATTAAAAACAGGATGAATTGTTAGGAGTCCCGGACGGTTTGCAGAGGACCGTCCCCGAGGCCCGGGAGAATAAAGCCGGCATTCTCGTCTCCCTAACGCTTCACGGGGTGTGCTCTTCCCCCAGACCGCTGCGCCCTTGCTTCGCCCCTGAACCCCGCAGTGTCTGTACGCTGTTGACCTCTGCTCCTTAGGTCCTTTCCCAGCCCCTGCTGCCCCGCCGCAGCCCCTGCAGCGCAGAGAGGCCTTTGGCCAAGGCCGGTGGCGCCAGGACCCCTGAAACACAAGGCCCCCCCTCTCATGTGTCAGGATAGGTTCTGGCATCGTTTTTCTTCAGTTTAAGATCTCTAAAGCAAAAAAAAAACTCGCTTTCTCTCTCTTTTCATACTCCTCAGCATCTCGGCTCCTGGGAAAGCGGCCTGCTGCCCCATTTCACAACTGGCACCTTGTCCTCCCCATCACGAGGGCTCTGCTGGCTTTGTTTCCTTTCCGTAGCGGGTGATTTATGTACCACCCTCTGCAGAGACCTGGACTCATTTCTTTAGCTTCAACCAGATAGAGAACCGGGTTCCTCCCCACAGGAAACTCGTAGTGGAGACGGAGAGACAAGTGACCATGGTGGGCCGAGTAGGACAGTGAGAACCCTGTATTTTACAGATGTGTTCTGCAACTCCACACCAACGTGAGCAGTCCCGCTGTGGTCAAACTGGCTCTGCCTCATTCTCCAAAGATGCCAGGCACCTTTCCATTGCACAGCCCTTCCTGCTCTGCTCCATTTCCCGCAGGCCTCCATTATCCACCTACAGGAAACATCTTCACTCCTTCACGAGATGTCTTTTCACCCACCTCAGAATGCCGAGAGGGCTGTATCCCACTGTGGCACTTTCCCCCAGCTAGGTCTCTGTGTCTCTCACATCATTGACAAGACTTGTGGGTGCTGTGCCCAGTGCCTCTCCACATGGGGACCTCATCCAATAAATGTTGTCGTTCAATCCAGAGGCCCTAGAACTGGAGTGAGTTTAGTGCTGAATTTGCTAACGCTCTCATTTATACATTGAACAAATGTCGTGACATTTGTCCGTGGAGCCCTTGGAAGGTAACGAGGTTTAGCTGAGGTCATGGATGGGGTGGGGGGCGTTTCATGATGGAATTAGTGGCCCTCAGGAGAGATCAGGGCACTGAAGAGCCTGCCCTCCCCCTGTCTGAATCTCTCTCCTCTCTCCTGTCTCCCTGCCCCTTATGAAGACATAGTTAATGGCACCTAGTGTGTGGGAGGGAAAAGGACATAGAAGAGATGACTTGGGACCTTCAGCCTAAAACAACTTGGTCCTGAAAAAACTTTATTTGCATTTTCAGGACACTAAAGAGTGTTCATGAAAGGCGGTTGACACATTCACCAATATTCTGGACTCTAAAGTGTTACTGTTTTTATTAAGTGATGCTGTTGGAATATACTTGGTCTTGAAGCTCTCATATAATAAATTTCCATCCCAAATATGTTCATGTCAATGACCAAGGTTTAAGAGTGCCATATTTTAATTTCTAATTATCTTGGGTGCACAAAAGTAAAAGGTCCTAAGATAATCTTTTTATTCTATTTTCATAAGAATCAGACTTTCTCTTAAAACAGTTGTCTTCCATGTACATTTAAGGCATGTGCATTTCTTGGTTTAGAAAAAAAAGCCCAAAGGTCACGGTGTTACTTCTAACTCTAGCAGGAGTCTTCATCTGTCATGTGTGTATCCAACATATATGGACAATGCAGATTGTCTATGACTGCTGCTCCCAAGTGACGATGTTTTCCAGAACCAATTAAGAACTTTATTACAAAGAACCCAAACATCCACAGGCAGTCTGCAGAGTGAGTTCCAGGGCAGCCATGGCTGTTAAACAGAGAAATCTTGTCTCCAACACTGCCCCCCCCCCCAAAAAAAAGAACCCAAACCTCCGAAATTCTTAGTCTCTATGTCTAAGATGATCTAAGGGAATCAAAACATGCATATATTTTTACAGCTTCCTAGGAAAGTCTAATCCACCAGTGTTATGAACTCTGGTAACCGAACACAGAGCTTTGAGCATCCTAGGCACATAGGTTTTGGGAATACTCTGTCTTCAGCTGCATCACGGACCCACTAGTCATTTTGAGAATCAGTGCTCTGCTAGAACAGGACAGGATCGTTTGTACCCTCCTTCTGCTGTTCTCCCATGATCCAGCTGGGTACATTTCTGGTCAGTGATTCCAGGCTTTAAATAATTTGTAAGTGTTCAGTGTCTACACTTTATCATCTGCTAGGAATTTAAAGGAAAATCACGTTCTCTGTTCAGCTGTTAATGCTAGGATCCATATTTAGTTTTATAAGCTTTCCCCTGCTTTTAGCTTTGTTTGGGTTTTTGGCTCATGGGTTTTATTTCTGTTTGTAACAAAGAAATGTAAGAGGGAGAAAAATTAAGAATTTTAAAAAATAAATGAGTTTAAAAAAAATACTCAGTGCTCCAAAGTAATGGTTTCTCCATTCTTGGATATGGTGGACAGGAATAACAACAATAACAGCGACACCCCACAACACTGTTGTTTGGTGGAGACACAGTCTTTCCTGCAGCTCAGTTAGGCCTCAGACTTATGACTCTTCTACTTCTGCTTCCCAAGAACTAAAATTTTGCAGGCCTGTACTACCAACCTCAGAAAAATAATTTTAATTGGAAACAAATTTGCTGATTTTTTTCAGCTTTCTAAATTAGAACATTAAATTAATTACCATACATGACTTGAGCACAGGGGGCCATCACTTGGACTTGCAGTTATTCAGAAGGCTGAGGTAAGGCATCCGTTGGCTGAAATTGAAGGGTTCCCTGAGCAACATCGAGACCCTATTTCTTCAGAAAAATATTTTTTATGAATAATATTGACATCACATTTTTATTACAGAGCAGCTAACAACAAAAAAGTAAGAAAAAAAATGTACTTTCTGATAATTCCTTACATGCCCTTGTTGTTTATTATAGTTTTGTGGATGCTGCTAATGGAAGAGTCCTGTTTAACAGGTGTTGGAACCATTGCAGTAAGGGAAATAAATGTAAATGAGAAATATTCTTTGGCTAATGCTGGTAGCCTTCACCCACCTGCTTCTTTCTACACACTGTCTTCTTCCTGATTATGTTTCTACTTCTACTCTGTTCATGTATTGTTTCATTTGGGGTAATTTGGTCATTGTCTTTTTCCTTGCTGAATTTAGAACACCTTTGTGTCTCCCTAAAGAGCCGATGCACACCTTTGCTACGCTATTTGTAGACAAACTATAACCATTTGTTTGTACCACACACCCTTGAAGGAGCTACCTCCAGATTCTAGCATAGGAATTATTCTTTTTTTTTTTTTTTTTGGAGAGAGAGAGAGAGAGTTTCTCTGTGTAGCTCTGGTACCTGTCCTGGATCTCGCTCTATAGACCAGGCTGGCCTCAAACTCACAGAGATCTGCCTGGCTCTGTCTCCCAAGTGCTGGGATTAAAGGTTAGCACCACCACCACCTGGCTGTAGCATAGAGATTATTCTTAATGAGCATTCAAAGAATATTTGCTAGGCCAGAGGCATAGCTTTGTGGTACAGCATATGCTTAGCATGGATGAGGCCCTGGATTACACTCCAGGCACTCCTTTAAAAACTGTTGAATTGATGTATAGCTAATTGAGCTTTAAAATCTGGCAGAGAGAAGAAAAATTAAGCACACGTAAGTATTGTACCGGGTGGAAAGTCATACCCAGCATGAGAGGAAAACTGAAGTGTCTTAAGAGGAGAGTGTGAAGGAGGAGGAAGTTAGTCACACCTGTGTTGAGGACCTCAGCCAGAGATTATAAAACAGGGTGCATGAGATTTCCTGGGCATGTACAGCAAGCATGCACACAGGATGTACATCAGCCGTGTCAGGGAAGAAACGATACAAGCAAAGTGTGGCCCTGGAAAGCCAGGGAGTGTGTAAAGGAGTGTAGGAGCATTTCATGTTACTGGAGAAGAGAGTTTATAATACATAGTTAGGAAGGAGAGTTGAGGGTTTTACCCAAGAAAGTATAGATAAGAATGCCAGCCTGGTCTACAGAGTGCATTCCAGGACAGCCAGGGCTATACAGAGAAACTTTGTCTCAAGAAACAAAAACAAAACATAACAAAAAAAGAATGTAGTGGGAGCTTTTCTTAGATTTATTTATGTATGTATTTTATGTTTATTGGTGCTTTATGTGCACGCACACCTGCACACCAGAAGAAGGCATCAGATCCCATTATAGAAAGTTGTGAGCGGCCAGGTGAGTGCTGGGAATTGAACTCTGGAAGAACAAGCAGTGCTCTAAACCACTGAGCCATCTCTCCAGCCCCCCAGAGCTGGTTTTTCAAGCCAGAGTGAATGTGACAGCTACATAAGGAATCAAGCAGAGGCTGCAGAAGAGGAGGCAGACATCTCTGTGATTCTGGGGAAGGAGTAAGTAGGCACAGATCTGATAAAGATGCACTGGAACTGGACGGAGACAGGTACAAAAGGAGTCTCTTGTCTTGGCCAGTTGCTGCCTGACAAGTCACGGTAGACAGTGGAGTTCAAGAAGGG